GCATCCATACATTTTCTCTGTGGAGTCACGGCTTTCCTTACGGCATGTATGGCCGTCCATCCTTAGCCACTATATTGCACCGCTATATGCGGTATGTCATATATCAATCCTTGCCTATCATCATGGCACATTTTGGGCTTTCCCTACATTGGGAGGATCCTCAATTGCTAACACACAGGATTCAACTTCACTGACCTCAGCAACTATCTCTGCATGGGCTATAGGTCTGAGGATGATTATCAGCTGCTACAGGTTTGCCACAAGCTTTCCACTTTATTATACCTGTATTATTTGAGGACTTTTATTGAACCGGGTCTCTATCTGTCAATCTCCTGTGCTCCATTATTCAAGGCATTTATGTATTATGCATACTACTGGCTCCACCAAACAATTATGCCATCTGCATGATACATGTTTACATGACAATCATTGACTGGCCAAAAGATCCCTGGGATATTGGGCATATTTTGCCATATATTGCCATTTTTCTTGCCATCATCTAACTACTCTTGATATATTATAGAGATGTATTCTACATAACTCTGCATTACAAGCCTATTATCACGGCACTTTTGGGGCTGGCAACAGGAATCTGACCCAACAGTGGCTGATAGCTTTCCCTATATTGCCATATATGTCTTTGTGATATTTGTACTTTTTTTACTGCAAATTCAATTATTTTTGTTTATTATTTGGTTTTCAAGGCTGCAGTTTGTCCTCATTTGGACCCCCTTTTTGGCCTCTGGGTCCTTTACCCTCTGGTCTTTTTTCTTTATTTTCCCTCCCCAGCAGTGGGTTTCCTATAGCAACTGGGACCGAACCTGCATTGCGGAGACCAATAGTCTGGCCGTGTGGCACAGGAGTGAAAGCGTTAACAAGTGTACACATACAGTTGCAAGAAAAAGTATGTGAACCCCTTGGGATTACGTGGAGTTTTGCATGAATTGGGCATAAAAATGTGCTCTGAACGTCATCTAAGTCACAGAATAGAAGAACACAGTCTGCTGAACATAATACTACACAAACATTAGATGTTGCCATGGTTTAATTGCACATAACATGTAAATATTCACAGTGAGGAAAAAGTATGTGAGACCCTAGCTTAATGACTTCTCCCAGAGCTAATTGGAGCAGGAGTGACCCAACCTTGACTCCAATCAGTGTGATGATAATGGATGTGTTGCTGACAGTTGTCCTGCCCATAAAAAACACACACCAGTTTTGGGTTTACCTGGTTTCAAGAAGCACTGTCTGATGTGAACCATGCTCGCAGAAAAGAGCTCTCAGAAAACCTACGATCAGGAATTGGGAATCTCTGGCACATGCTAACATTTTTGTTGACACATCTACAATAAGGAAAACATTAAACAAGATGGAGTACATGGGAGGACACCAGGGAGGAAGCCAGTGCTGTCCAAAAGAATATTGCAGCACGTTTGAAGTTTGCAAAAGAGCACCTGGATGTTCCACAGCACTACTGGCAAAATATACTGTGGACAGATGAAAAAGATTGAGTTGTTTGGGAAAACACACAACACCATGTGTGGAGAAAAAAAGGCACAGCACACCAACATCAAAACCTCATCCCCACTGTAAAACATGGCGGAGGGAGCATCATGGTTTGGGGCTGCTTTGCTGCCTCAGGGCCTGGACGGATTGTTGTCATTGAGGGAAAATTAATTCCAGAGTTTATCAGACATTTTGCAGGAAAACGTACGACCATCTGTCCGCCAACTGAAGCTCCGCAGAGGATGGTGATGCAACAGGACAATGACCCAAAGCATACAAGTAATTCAACAAAACAATGGCTGCAACAGCACAGAATACGCCTTCTAGAGTGGCCCAGTCAGAGTCTTGACCTCAACCCGATTGAAATGCTGTGGCATGACCTTAAGAGAGCGATTTACACCAGACATCCCAAGAATATTGCTACACTGAAACAGTTTTGTGAAGAGGATGGTCCAAAATTACTCCAGATCGTTGTGCAGGTCTGATCTGCAACTACAGGAAACATTTGGTTGAGGTTATTGCTGCCAAAGGAGGGTCAACCAGTTATTAAGTCCAAAGGTTCACATACTTTTTCCTCCCTGCACTCTGAATGTTTACATGTTATGTGCAATTAAACCATGGCAACGTCTAATGTTTGTGTAGTATTATGTTCAGCAGACTGTGTTCTTCTATGTTGTGACTTAGATGACATTCAGAGCACATTTTTGTGCCCAATTCATGCAAAACTCCACGTAATCCCAAGGGGTTCACATACTTTTTCTTGCAACTGTAGGTGCTGTTCTGGTGCGTGGCAGGGCTCCATTCTGTCATCGAGAGCAGGGGCTGACTGGTAAGTTTTGGCCCAGGGGGCAAGTACAACCCAGAGGCCCTGGTGCAGCGACTCAGCCTCTCTTCTGCTTTTCCTCATCCCTGCCTCCTCCCAGGCCCTGATTAAGAGCATCATAGGCCTAGTGCTGTGGATTTTGGTGGGCCTTTTATGTAAAGAAATAAAATTAAAATGCAAACTATTAAAACAAATTAAATAGAGAGAGGAGAGGTATTGGGGGAGGGGGGGGGGGGAGAATGAGAAGGTGAGAGGGGGAAAAAAAAGTTTGGCAAATGATATGCATGGCTGAATGGGGAAATCGTAGAAAGATCCATGCATAGTAAGCTATGTACTCTGCACACAAATACCACAGTCCTTGTACCCCCCCCCCCACAACTGACAGCCGCATAGATACACACTGTATGAACTTCAGGGCAAAGGATCATTAAAAAAAATGCTTCTATTAGATATGCTTTTGTGCACACAAAAAGGATATAATTTTGTCTGACTGAACCTACCTTAAACAAGAACTCCCCCCCCCTTACATAAAAGTTCACAGAGTTCTCCCTCAAATCAGATTCTCTCCCTACATCGGACTCCACAGGTTTCCCTTTTACATCCACAGATTTCCAGATTTCTCTTTACATTAGAGTCCCCCCCACCACCACCCTAAATCAGGGTTTGCAGAGCCCCATTTTACATCAGAATCTGCAGAGTTCCCCATTACATTGACTCTAATGTAAAGGGGAATGCTGTGGACTCTGGTGTGTAGGGGAGTATCTGGTGACCAGAGCTCCTCATGGCATCAGAGTCTGCAGAGATCTCCCTTACTTCAGGAGTTCCAGAGTTCCCCTTACGCTGCCATTCCTCAGTCCCTCACAGTCTAGGGCACTACAAGTCCCAGCATAGCAGGCAGCCATACGTCAGTTCCCCAGAGAGGGCACTGCAAGTCCCAGCATAGCGGGCTGCCATTACTCACTGAGGAATGGCAGCCCGCTATGCTTAGACTTCTAGTGCCCTCTGTAAGGAATATAGGAATGGCAGTCCCCTATGCTGAGACTTGTAGTGCCCTCTCCTGATGTCCTGGGCTGCATCTGGGATCAGTCATAGACTCTATGCACATGTAACTGCTCCGATGAGAGGTTACATGCAAACAGCGCAGGCCATTACTTTGGGCCGAGTACATATCTGCATATCTGACAGCTGCAGCTTTGTGTACACAGTTTACCCAGGCAGTGTTTAGATCCAACAGCAAGAATCGAGTGATTCTTACCAGCAGCTGCCCCTGGCTGTGTAAGTATAACCATATACCTTTTGGGAAGAGATTTGGGCTCTGCTTGTAAAAAAACAGGCACAGCGGGGGTTAACTAGAGTGTAATAATGAGCTAATGAAGCAATTAAAGAGCTCATTATGACATACAGAGATTTTCTGACATGTATGACTAGTCCTCATACATTGGGGGTGGAACACATACATTGGGGGGCACAGTGGGGGTGGCATACATTGGTTGGCACACATACATTAGGGGGGCACACTGAGGGTTAACACACATACATTAGGGGGGCACACTCAACTCAAGTGTAATAATGAACTCTGTGGAGCAATGAAAGCGCTCATTATGACATACAGAGATTTTCTGACATGTATGACTAGTTGTCTTACATTGGGGGTGGAACACATACATTGGGGTGGGATGTGGAATACATTGGTTGGCACATATACATTAGGGGGGCACACTGAGGGTTAACTGAAGTGTAATAATGAACTCTGTGGAGCAATGAAAGCGCTCATTATGACATACAAAGATTTTCTGACATGTATGACTAGTCGTCACCGTTCCCTATGTCAGCGCTGGATCTGTTGATGAGCCCAGCTAGGGAGGTGATTGTAGAAATAGTGACAGAGGGTGATCTTCCATACAATGAGTTGATGGGGTTTTCCTAGAAATAGAGAATATAGTGACAGATTTATCTTTTTATAGAAGCCGGTCTCAGATGAAATCATTTCTTGTAATAACAGGCTTGTGACGGCTTTTAATGGTTCTCAGTTGTTTTATAGGAAAGCTTTTATTAGACCTGTGACAGGAGCTGAGGATCTCCGAAGCTTGAGTTTACAGCATCGACACAATCTGATAACATACGAACGTCAGAAGTATACCACACACAATGGTTCTGGATTGGTGGATTGATGACATGGGCTTAGTGTCTAGGTGCTGCAGGTCAATGATGCACAGAATCTGTGGGGTTGTCTGGAGAAAAATACAGAGGTGGTGGGTAGATGGGCATCGCTCAGTATGGCCATGCACAGTTGCCAGCATTTTAACCACTTGCCTACCGGGCACTTATACCCCCTTCTTTACTAGGCCAATTTTCAGCTTTCAGCGCTGTCGCACTTTGAATGTCATGCAACATTGTACTCATATGAAATTTTTATAATTTTTTTCTCACAAATAGAGCTTTCTTTTGGTGGTATTTAATCGCTGCTGGGCACTTTACTTTTTGCGCTATAAACAAAAAAAAAAGCAAGAAATTAAAAAAAAAAAAGTTTCTTTGTTTCTATTATAAAATTTTTTAAAACTGGTAATTTTTCTCCTTCACTGATGTGCGTTGATGAGGCAGCACTGATGGACACTGATAGGCAGCACCAATGAGGTGGCATGGATAGGCGGCACTGATAGGCAGCACTAATGAGGTGTCGCGTATAGGCGGCACTGATAGACAGCACTGATAGGTGGCACTGACTGGCATCAGTGCTGGGCACTGACTGGCGGCATTGGCTGGCGCAACTGCTGGGCAATGACTGGCACAACCACTGGGCACTGACTGGCGGCACTGGTGGGTGACACTGGTGGGCAAAGGTGGGTGGCACTGGTGGGCACATGTGGGTGGCACTGCTGGGCACAGGTAGGTGGCACTTCTGAGGACAGGTGTGTGGCACAGGTGGGTGCACTGCTGGGCACAGGTGGGCGCACTGCTGGGCACAGGTGGGCAGAACAGGTGGGTGGCACTGCTGGGCACCGATCATCAGGGCACTGATCATCAGTGCCCTGATGATCGGTGCCGATCCCTGCTCTGACAACTGCCGGTTCTTGGCAGTACTTTCCTTGCACTCCGACAGCGTGAGGAAAGTGCAGTCGAGAACCAGCAATTGCATTTCTCGGGGGATCAGCGTGTCATTGGACACGGGTGATCACGTGGTAAAAGGCCGCTGTGATTGGCCTTTTACCACATCACGTGATCAGCTGTGTCTGTAGGACACAGCAATAACGGAGATCGCCGGGTGCGTACCCCCAGGGGAGTGCAGTAGAGTGCGTTCTGGGCGGACGTCATATGACGCTCTCCCAGAACTGGCCGGCCGCAGTGTAGCCGTCATTCTGGCTATCTGCGGTCAGCAAGTGATTAAAGAAGAATTCTGATTTAATTTTTTTTCAGTGTTCCGTGCCTCATGGAACAAAGTACTTTGTCCCATTTTGTCACATGCTTTATAAGCCTAGCTACAAGGCTAGACAGGGCGCCGACAGAGCCATCCAACAACGTGGCTTGCAAGGAGACAGTATGGTCAAGAGGAATGCAGAAGGACGGGAGGCTGACAACCCCCCCCCCCCTTCATTCCTCTTGCCACTGCTTGTCTTAGTCAAGTCCGAGTCAGTAAACCATATTCATATATGTACATACAGTGTATGTGTGTGTGTATATATATATATATATATATATATATTTATATAATGTGTTGTAATTCACCATATAAACCCATACAAAATAAAATACATGTGTAAATTTGTATATTGGGACTAATGGCAGGGAGCTCTGCATATATCACAGCTTCAGCCACTTCATCATGAGAAAAGTGCTCCTTATGCCATTGCCACCCATCCTAAAAAAATTGCTAGCTGTCTGGTATTCATGTTGATCTTCAATTAGGAAGTAGAGGAGAAATTTCCCTGATAGGGACACAGACAGCAGATCGAAAGTGTGTTTAAACCGGAAACCAAAAATGGAATCTGCTGTAGCTTCCAGTCTTTAGATATGGTGGTTACATAAATTTTTCTTTTTCAGCAAGAGTAGAAAATACCTGTTGATGGCACCAGAAATGCGGTGTCCTTGTCACTTTCTTTGGCATGAAAAGAAAGTATAAACAATGCTATCTCCTTTTTTTAATATAGACTACTAGTATCATAATTCCACCATATAATTACAGCAAAACTATATCCAAAAGGATATTGTTTGCATTGTCCCCCCCTCCACTGCCATATTTGGCACTTTTTTGGGGTGGAGGCGGAAGCGGGTAGCAGGTTTACAGCAATCCGTGCAGAAGTTTGGTCCCCTCCCTGTTCTGGGACACATCACAGGTCCCAGAAGTCTACGGGACCATTCACAAAGTGCGGTGCAGCCTGCACATGTGCAGTAGGAAAGCGGCTGTGAAGGAACTCTTTGTAAGTGGCTTGGTAAAAGGTCTCAATGAAGGGCCCTTTAGATTGAGGGATAAAACATGGATTTAGGTTTAAAACTTGTGTGCACAGCATCAGGAATATTGAAGTCTCTGTTGTTTGGCTCACATCACCACTCTCCTCCAACAATTCTTGCAATATAGCGAACGTGAAATCGTCCTCATCACCACTCACCTCCACTAAGGGACAAATACAGCCGCTAGCATGAATCACTTCTCCTGGCGGGGTTGGTTGCAGAAAAGAAATTTGCTCCATGTATGGCTTGCCTTAGACCTCAGTAGACAATATCATGTCTAGTTCTAGAGATCTCACTCACTAACAAATACTGATAAGACAGAGCAAAACAAGAGACAGGCAACAAAAATGATGAAAGGTCTGAGTAATAAAACATATCAGGAGCAGGGGCGGACTAACCATTTGGAAACTCGGGCACTGCCCGAGGGCCCAGGGTCAGTAGGGGGCCCCATAAGATGCCCCTGGTACCTTTTTTCATAGGCTTTTTTGAGTTTGAGCAAGGACACAGGGGCCCCATGATCCCCTATTGCCCTAGGGCCCCATGAGTTGTCAGTCCGCCCCTGATCAGGAGTGACTGCAGGAACCTAATATGCACAGGAGTGAAATCTTTAAATATATGAATTGTGTGCATGAGGTTCAGGAGGGCAGCTTTTTCAATATAAAGCTAAGATCAAGAACATGATCTCTAGCAGGCAAGAAATTCAAAACTAACCTCTGAGAGCATTATTTTCCCAAAAGATTGGAACAGACTTCCAGTAGAGGTAGTGAACCAGTCAATAGTATGTGAGTTTAACCGCTGCCCGACCCCCCTATAGCAGATATCCTGATACAGGGTGGCACGGATGCGCAAAATCACGTATATATACATGATTTTTTTCAGTTCCGGGTAGGGGGCGCGCGCCCTACCCGTGCTGCCATTCGCGACCACGGCTGTCAATCATCGGGTCCTGGCTGGTGTTTACTCACCAGGCGCCTGGTGATTCATGAGCATCTTCGATGGGGAGGAGAACTGTATGTAAGCAATACAGTTCTCCTCCCTGTCAGCTCGTGCACACTGCTTTGAATGGCCGTGCACAGCACAGCCATCCGAATCAGTTTGTTTAAAGTAAAGCACACAACACATGGTTAACCCTTTGATCACCCCACATGTTAACCCTTTCCTGCCCAGTGCCATTAGTACAGTGTCAGTGCTTTTTTTTTACTGTATTAGTGTCACTGGGGATGTCAGTGACACCAAGTCAGTTCCCCCAGTGTTAGAATGCCTGCCGCAGTCCCGCAGTCTATAATTCGCTGATCGCCGCCATTACTAGTAAAAATAAAAAATCCCAGTATATATTCTGCCATTTGTAAATGCTATAACTCTCACGTAAACCAATTTTTTTTTACACGTATTGGGATTTTTTTTTTAGCAAAGACATGTAGCAGAATACATTTTGGCCTAAATTTCTAATTTGATGAAATTTGATTTTTTCAATTTTTTTACTGGACATGTTTAATAGCAAAAAGTCAAAAATATTGTGTTTTTCTCAAAATTGTTGGTCTTTTTTTTTTTCTTTTATAGCGCAAAAAATTAAAAACGCACAGGCGATCAAATAACACCAAAAGAAAGCTCAATTCGTGGGAAAAAAAAAGAACATAAATTTTATATGGGTGCAGTGTTGCATGACCGCACAATTGTCAGATAACATAACAGCGCCGTAACGCAAAAAATGGCCTGGTCAGGAAGGGGGGTAAATCCTCAGGAGGGCAAGTGGTTAAACATGCGTGGCACAAACATAGAGTGCTGTAGATAATTTTTTTTTTCCCTGAGGGACCATACAGGAAAATAATTACGTGCTGCATTGCACATACCAAGGCACAATTGCACTAGCAATAGAAGAGACTTAAGGCATCATTTACATGGTCATTTTTCCACATGGCGAATCCCAGCGGCAGGAATCTTGCAGTGATTGTGGGCTTTGCAAATAGACACAAACAGCCGTTTGTGTCAACAAACTGTCATTGCAGTTTATGGACTCTGCTATCTTCACGCAGCTATCCACCCCAGGAGAAGAAATCAGTAGATGCCTCTGAGATTCCCTGTGTGGCACAACACCTGTATGAATGGTGCCTAAAACTTGAGCCTTTAATTACTGTGCTACAAGCAGGGTGGATAAAAATCAATGATTTTTTTTAAAAAATAAAAAAAAATCGGATTTTTTTAATTTAAATCGGATTTTTTTATTTAAATCGGATTTTTTTTTGAATAAAATGCTTTTTGAGGAAAATATATTACCATCCAAAGGTTATTCCATCATGAAATAAAGATTAGTTTTTTAATTATGTAGAATAAGGCTGTATATGTTTAATGTTTTTGGTAAATAAATTCCATTAATCCATTCACAATATCATGCTCTTCCAGAGGTTTTTGTAAGATTATTGGGCAGTTTCTCTGCCTACAAGATATTATCACAGATGATTGGTTTACTTTTGCAGTTCTCAAAACTGAATTTGACTCAGCGGAGATCACATGCCTCTTCTTCACAGCAAAAATGTTATAACATGAACAGAGTTAAGAAAAAGACCTTAATCCTAACTTCTACAAACCTATGAATACAGAATCAACCCCTTCAGTGCTAAGTTTCAAGAAGTTCAGTGAATAGAATAGAAACAATATTTTTCTGATTGTTTGGAGTGGAATAGATCTGCACAAGAAGAAAGTGAAACTAAGTGTGAGGAGGAAGGGGCTGACAGTCTAAGTTTCTTAAAATATATATATTTTTTTAGCCAAATTAGTTAACAAACATGGATGTTTGTTGAAGCAAATAACATGCTGTAATGTTATTGTTTCAGTTGAATAAATCTATTTAAATTGTTATTCTTAAGGTAATGATTATTTTTCTCCTTCCTAAGTACAACAGAAAAGTTGTCCAAATATGAATGATTAACCTATTAAACTGGGGATAAAAAAACTAATATGAAAAGTTGTTATTCTAAAAACCTTCATCTACTTGCATATTAAAGTTATACCAGCAAGAATTAGTCTTTATGTAGAAAACTAGGATTTAAATCAAGCCTTACTGACTAGTGATTTAAATCGTGATTTAAATCAGTTTGATTTAAATCAAATCCACCCTGGCTACAAGCAAGAGCTGAACAGAGGTAAAGAATGTGTAATGCATAGGTCAGCAGACGGAAAACAACAGAAACATAACTCCCTACCTAAGCCAAAATCCGCTCAGTACAAATCTCCCCCCTCCTGCTAGTGAACATTCCCCCCCAGTACAGAGCGTCCCCCCCATACAGCTAGCCCCCATGTACAGATCTAGTCCCAGGACTGCTCCCTTTAATCCCTTCCCCAGTAAAGTTCAACCCCCAGTATCTATTCCCCCTCCAGTACAGATCCCCCCCCCCCAGTATAGATCTTCACCTAGTACAGATCTACCCAACCAGTACAGCCCCCCCCCCCCAGTACAGATCTCCACTGCCAGTACAAATCTCAAGTACTGGCAGTGGAGATCCTGACTTCTGTATGGAAAGAGCAGTGCACTTTAGTTGTGGCCATGTGCATTGCACTATGCACACTACAAATCCCATTGTCGATAGTCCCT